GGAGGTGCGCTCTGAGATGCAGACAGGGGTCTCATCATGTAGGGCCCTGTGGGCCAGGGTTAAACATTTGGGTTTTCATTGCATGGGAGGCCATCGGGTGGGTTTTAGCAGAGGAATGACGTGGTTCAGTGTATGTTTTTGAGGTCAGCAGGGCTGTTGTGTGTGTTGTAAGGGGATGACTGAAAGCAGGGCGTGGTCCTCCAAAGACATCCCATAGTAATCCCTGGAACCTGTGAATATCTTAGGTTCCAAGGCCAGGAGGCAGTAAGGTAGCAGACGGTGTTGAGGTTACTCAGCTGCCTTTCAAATGAGATGATCCTGGATTGGGGGCAGCTGGAGGGGATGTAATCACAAGGGTCCTTATAGGGGAAAGAGGGAGACGAAGGGTCAGAACCCGGGAGATCGGATGTGAGAAGGAGTCCAGTGGCCATCGCTGACTTCGAAGATGGAAGGAGGCCAGGAGCCATGGGCTGTGGGCAGCTCTAGCAGGTGGAAAAGTCCAGAAGATGGATTCTCCCTGAGAGCCTCCAGAAAGGACCACAACCCTGCCGGCATCTGGACTGTGGCCCTGGCAGACCCGTTTCCGATTTTTGACCTCCCAGTCTACAAGATAGTAAGTGTGGGCTGTTTTCAAGTCGCAAAGTTTGTGGTATTACAGCACCAGTCGGAAACGAACACGCAGGGAGACCTAGAAGGCCACCGTAATTGTTTCGGGGAGCGCGGGGGCTGGTTCGGGAAATATTTACCTTCCCTACAGGGTGCTGGTATCTGTGTTAGGTCCTCTTTCCTGCCTGGTCACCAAGCCATTTGTTACCTCTACAGAGGCAGAGCTGGCCTTTCTCCAGTTCCTCTCCATATACTCACTCGGAAGCACAGCTCGTCCCCATACACAGGATTCCATGTCACCCGGCCAGTCAGCAGTTGGTGACGGTACCAGGAGCAGACAGCTTTGGACGACTAACTGCCGGAGCACCCGGTGAGCCAGTGCGTGCGTGTGAAGTGGGCAAGCCGTACCCTCGGACGGGAAGGGATGGGACTTGTGACAGGACCACTGCTCAGCTGAGTTTTAGGACAGGTACCCAGGGGACACGCAAATGCCCGACAAAACATGCACGGGGGCGACTTTGGAGTCCCCTCTCCTGACCCTTGACAAGGAAATCTCGGTTGGAACACATCGTAAATCAATCTCTATTGGGAAGGGGATTCCTTCTTCCTGAGGCTTCTGCAGGGATGATGGGTGAGGCAGGGGGAGTCCTTATGCCTCTTTGTATTTGTCAAATCACAACTCAAGTGTCTTGGTATAGAGACCTGTTTTATAGGGCAACTCCTCAGGCTCAACTATGCATCATCCACGAGTATTTTTGAAGCTTTGGTAGTAACCAACGAATGTGGATGTTGTCTTAAAATCTTTTTTTTTTTTTTTTTTGTAGTCAGTGGTCCAAAACTGTTTCTTATATTTAGAAGCCCAGGTCTAGGGTTACGTATCAAGATACACGCGTAATACTGTTTTGCTGAACGCAGCTGTCCTGGTGGAGGCCAGAGATAATTTGCTGATACAGGAGCTGAGGCCAGCGATTTTAGGTCTGCATCTGCTTCTGCCTGTAACTTGTGCGCAAAGATGGGGCAACACCAAGAGCGGCGGCCACATCAGCCTTAGCCATGCACGGAGCACCGGGACAGGGACATTAGCTCCCCCAGGCTCCCCCGCTGGGAGGCAGCCAGCCCTCCCTCCTGCAAAGTGACTGCCGGACACCGTCCAGGCCTCTGTCCTAGCACTCTCAAGTTGCCTTCGAATGGTGTGTGTGCTTGTTCCCCTGCTAGACATGACCCTTCCCAGGGGTCTCTCGTGATCCTCTTGGCATCTCCAAAGCCTCGTCCAGATTCTATAGTCGAGCAGGTGCTGTGTAAATAACGACCGAATGTGGCAGTGGAAGAGTATGACGACAAAGGAGAAATTATTCGGAAAGTTATTAGATTACTTTGGTCCTGCTCGTTGGAGGCATAGGAAGCAGCAGCAAGCTGAATGCAGATTTTTTTTTTTTCTTTTCTGCTCAGCATCCGTCTCTCCTCCTTCTGGTAAAAGCACTTTGGTTTTCCTTCGGGGAAACCACCCTGCCCACACCCTCAATCCATAAAGTTTGGGTGGAACTGACCTCACCATGAGTCCCACTGGCTGAGTTGTACCCCAGGCCTGGCTAAAGAGGGAGCCACACCCCCCTGGCCAGGGCAGCAATTTGTGTTGGAAGGGTGGCCACACCTCTTTGTTAATGGCTGCTGTCCCTTCGGATGGGTTGGTTCCAGTTCCCAATCAATTGTGTATTATTTCAAATTGAATCTTTCCCCCACTCCTGTATCTATTAGGGAAGAGACACAGATAGAGTGAAGTTCTTAACAATGGCTGAGCACACCCTGGCTGGGTTGCTCAGTGGTTAGAGCGCCAGCCCTTGGACTGAAGGGTTATGGGTTCAATTCCCAGCCCTGGTCGAGGTTGTGTGGGAGGCAACCAAGAGATGTGTCTCTCTCACATCAGTGTTTCTCTCTCTCTCTCTCTCCCTTCCATTCTATCTAAAAATCAATGGAAAAATATCCTTGGGTGAGGATTCATGAAAAACATTACATTTTTAAAAAATGGCTGAGCACCAAGATCCAGCCATGCCTGAAGCTGTCGCTGGAATTTTCAGTTCCATGAGGCAGTAAACTCTACTTTTTGCTTTAGCCATTTTTTTCGTCACTGACTGCTAAAAGAGTCCCCCGGCCGAACCGTGCTCTTTGGAGTGGAGCAGGGGTGACCTCAGCCTTGCAGAGGCCCTGGGGAAGACCATCGCCCCACTGTGTCACTATGAAAGCTCTCAGCCAGGCCCTGGGAGCCCAGCAAAAGTCAGATCCCCTTTCATCCCAGGGATCTCACTTAGTGACTTAATTGGATCCCCATTTTCAGTGCCTCATAGAAGGGCATTTCAGGCCATACATTCGTTCTGAGTTGATACCTCTCTAGCCCCACCCCTGGCTTCTCTGTGGTCTTCCCTACAGTCTGAGGCTGCTATCCATGAGCCTATTTTGGCTGTGGGAACCCCTAGAAGGTTGGGAACCCCAAGAAAACACACTTTACACACTGTGGTAAACAGGCTTACTTAAAACCATTTTTATTCTGCCTCTCAGCAATACTTTGCATTTGATTTGGGCTAACAGATCAGGGAACCAAACACACACAAACAAAAACCATGATGTCAGAAACAGGAATGAGGGTCCAACGTACTGGAATGGCGCTAGGATCTCTGTGTGCTGAGGGTCTGTGGCCCTGACTCAGTGTCCTTCCGGGACAAGTGCTGGCTCGTGACGGGCAACTGCGGGGAGTGACAGGTGGAATCCGATGTCCATCCACGTTTATTTTATTTTTTTTTGCGAGGGCCCAGGATTTTAATAATGCCGGAGATTCATCATAATCTAAGAACAAGCTGATCTGTTACGGCAATTGATTCTCATAACAACATGGAGGTAAGTAGGCGGCGACTGTTACCCCCATTTTCCAGATGAAGGAATTGCACAGGGAGGCGGAGAAGCCTGCCTGATGTCAGTCCGCGTAGTCCGAGGCACGCAGGGACTCCGGGTTCTGACTCTCAGCCTCTCGCTCCTTTCCTTAAGCTGCCTGTTCTGCTTAGGAAAGCTCATTGTCACCGTGTTTCCGGTATTAGTTCCTGCACTTATTTTTGCCACATACACACGTCACCTGTTGTGTTAATCACTTGATATTTTCTTCGCGTCCACTTATGTCACTGTATCTAAACAGAAATAATATATCAGACCCCTAAGAGGAAACCCTAAAGGGAAGGTCTTTGATAAAGAGATACAGTGACAACAAAGCCATCTATTAAATTCTGTCTGGACAGACGACTTCGATCCTGAGGACTGCTCTTCCTCTCTTGAGACGGGAAAGAGCCAGCGTATCAGAAAGATGTTAGGACCCATGAGCACTGAGCGGAGATGGAAAAAGAACAGGAAAGGGGACATGTTCTTTGTGATTCAGCGTCATTGACTGGGGTGTCTAGGAACGACTTAAAGATTGTGGCCCCCCAGTGGCGTGCCTGGCGTCCTGGGAGACACTGGGCTGGCATGTCCCGGCTTGCAGAGTAACGGGGTCACTGAACCGGGACAGTCACGCCTACCGCCTTTACGTTTGACAGAAAAGAAATACAATGGGTGGCATTTCCACGGGGCATCCAGGAAGATCAAAGATCTTGCCTGAGACTTGCTAAAAACAAACAAACAGACATAAAAAACAGAGTTGGAAAAAAGCACATTCCATAAACACAGCCAGTTTATTCTCAAGACTGGGCTGGGGAAGATGCTCATGTACCTAGAATTGACCACTAAGCACATTCTCATCTGTTGGAGTGGAAAGTGAGGTTGAGGCCAAGTTGACCAGTGGTGGGTGCAAGCAAGGGAGGGGCCGAGACAGAAGGGAAGGGGGCCAAGGCGGAAGGAAAAGGGGGCCAAGGCAGAGGGGGGCCGAGGCGGAAGGGAAGGGGGGCCAAGGTGGAAGGGGGTCAAGGCGGAAGGGAAGGGAGCCAGGGCGGAAGGGAAGGGGGCCAGGGCAGAAGGGGGCCAAGGCAGAGGGGGGCCAAGGCGGAAGGGAAGGGGGCCAAGGCGGAAGGGAAAGGGGCCAAGGCAGAGGGGGGCCGAGGCGGAAGGCAGAAGGCCCTGCGTCAGTCTTTGATGAGGGAAGAACCCCTGAAGATCAAAGTGAAGCCACAACATGTACAAATAAAGGAAAAATGCACAAATTCAGCTCTATTAGCCGTTAAACATGCTGCAAATGTTTGTAGGTGACATTGCAAACACCGTCATCCATTGCTCTTCCTAGAACCTCCCTCTCCCCGCCAACTCTGGAAAGCTCTCCCCGCCCCCCAAAGTAATGAGATTTCCTGAGCTCATCTCTGCAGAGGAGGAATGGACACAGTGGCTTTTGCTAAACTGAAACAATGAGACTTGTTTAAAAAAAAAAAAAAAAAAAAAATCAATGACTGGCTGATCTGGCTGTGCTGCTTGGTTTCTTACATTTTGGACATTTTTTTGTTTTGTTTTTAAAGTTCATTTGCCAGGGACCTGCCTCTGGAGAGTCCTGGAGGAAAAGATCTCACAGTCGGAAGTCAAGGATCCATTCCTCAGAAAGTCCTTTGGGGCCTTAGCGGATGAGGTCCAACCTCCATGCTCGGCCGACTGCCGGCTGCTCAGAATCTGTGTGGTGCAAACAGACAGAGAGAAAGGGAGAAAGAGCTGGACCAGCCTTCTCGCCCAGGGCTTCCTCTTTCGACGGCCGGGACTCTGAACAATCACTGACATGGACCAGCAGAACCGGATCCATCGGCATCTAAGCACTTTGGAGAAACGGATTGCATTTGGATACGTATTTTCTTTTACACGTGGCACATGCACAAAGAAAAAAAACAACACAACTCACGAAATGATACAGATGCAGCAAAATGCCTTGTGAACAGTTCTGATCTGAATTCTCCTTAAGGGTTAGCAGCACTGTTAGCATGTGGCATGGTGCTCCCAGGCACTTGCTTTTTCTGCACTTTAATCCATAAATACACACTGAGAAATTCATCTCATGGCTGTGTTTACATAAACGGGCTTATGCTACGTCTGTGTGTATAACTCATTAATTTCCCAGTCAACGTTTATCTGCCAGGCATTGCTCTAGGTGCTGTGATGATAACACCACCCAGCAGCTACAGAGTGAGAACCACGGCCGGGCACTGTGCTTTACGCCGTGTAATCTTCGCAGCCTGGGAGACAGAGCCTGTTTTATCCCCATTTCGTAGATGAGAGGACTGAGGCCAGACTGGTTCAAAGGGCACATGGGTACTTCGAGGCAGCACCTGGGTTTAAACCCCAACAGACTAGCTTCAAAGTAAACACCCCAAAGTGTTATGTTCTATTATTCTGGGCAATGATGGAAAGAGAATGTTCCCGGAGTTTGCATTCCAGTAGGAGGAAACAGACCATCAAGATATATATGATTATATATTAATATATAAATATATATGATTATATGTAAATTATACAGAATCATGTATTATAAAACTATATATTATATAGAAAGATGATAAATTTATAGATGACTTATAAACATAAATATATATGAAATTGTATAGTAAATATAAATACATTTATATACTTTCTGAGGGGGTGATACTAGGAAGAAAAGTAAAGTTGGATAAGGAAACAGAGGGAAGAAGGGTGGGCTCTGGGTGCTGTTTGAGCAAATTTGGTCAGGGCTACCCTCTCTGCTAAGGTAACATATAAGCAAGCATCTGAAGGAGAGATGGGAACAAGCCATGTGGGTTTGAGGAGGAAGAAAATCCTAGGCAGAAGGCCTGGCAAGTGCAAAGGCCCTGTGGCAGGAGCATATTTGTGTTGCTCAACGAAGAGGGGAATTCAGTGTCGCTGAAGTGAAGGAGTGAGGGGAGGGTGCTGGGAAAGAGATCATGTGGGGACTTACAAAGCCAAATAAGGGAGAGAGTTCATGTTTGAATCGCTGTGTGTATTCCATCCTACAAATAAATCACCGCGTATTGAACCATTTCCCCACCGACGGACATTAGGTTGTTTCAAGGTTTCAGCGTTTTCAGACAGCTGCAGTGAACATCACTGCACATCCTTGGTCCTCACCCTGGCTGAGCCCTGACACCTGCCAGTGTCGGGCCCTATCACTGGAGATTCTTAGTTAACTGGTCCAGGGTGGGCTCTGGGCACCGGCATATTTTAACGCTCCCCAGGCAATTCTAATATGTAGCGAAGGGAAAAGAACTATTTTATATGCTTTTCTGTGCACCTGTATCTCGGGTGGATACTGAGAAGCAGAATTGCTGGGTGAGAGAGCATGAGGGTTTTAAAGTTTAATAGATACATCTGAATTGAGCTCCCAAAGTCTTTCCCAATTTACTGCCCCCCAACAGCAGAGTATCCAGTTCTTCACACTCTCGCCAACCTTGATATTAGCAATCTTTTTAATTGTTTCGGTCTGGCAGACAGAGAAAAGAGAATATCTCATTGTTGCTTTAGTTTGTGTTTCCCTGGTTACCAGTGAGGTTGAACATCTTGTTCATGTTTATTCCGATTTCTTTGTCTGCATCCACCAGTGTACATCCTTTTCAAAGCAAACATCTTCCCGTTGTTGGTGATGACTTAGGTGTGACTTGTCTTTACCTCAATTTGTCTAAACCAACCAAGAGCAGCCCTTCTGACCTTGTGGGAATAGTTAATGTCCCCCATTTTTCATCATGGAATCATAGCGATTCTCCGAAGACACCGCTGTGCAGAACAATTCGCAGAAAGCCGCACCCCAGCCAATAAAGCAGGAAAAAAGATGAATTTGCTTGTGTGTTTTTGCAAAGAGGCCAGCTTCTCGTCCACCTTGCTATATATGCCTCCTTCTAACCCTAATGCAATTAGGAAAGGACTCATTCTAGTCTATTTATAAGACAGAAGCTTTCCCAGCGCACAGTGGGTTCATATCTGCTCATTCTGTGCCTGCCGACGGGAGACAGTCAACCTTGCTTAGAAGTCAAGTTCTTCCTTAATGGAAACCTCGGCACACGAAGGCTCTTATTTCCAAGAATGACAAGCATTTTTGACACAGTGTGTGTGTGGGGGGCGTGCCTGGCTCTTGAGACACCTACAAGACCACCAGAGGTGTAAGTTTGGTGAAGTTGCATTATATGGAGTTAACTTATGGCAAATCGATGATTCGTGTTGCTCCAAAAGGAAAAAGCAACTGTTTAAATGGAGCTAGAGATTCTGGTCACCACCTGGCTCAGGGCTCATGAACATGGACGTGACTCCATGTTCCTTCTGTGTGAGCTTGGAGAGTGTACCAGTGATGCTCAACCCAAGCAACGTCGTATCTTCCAGCCCTGGAGGAAACACTGACGATCTGCTCACAATTCAGTGTGTGGCCCGGCCGCTGTGGCTCAGTGGATTGAGCGTCGTCCCATGGACTGAGAGGTCCGGGTTTGATTCCCGGTCAGGGCATATGCCCAGGTTGCAGGCTCGATCCCCGGTAGGAGGTTTGCAGGAGGCAGCCAATGGGTGTCTCTCTCTCACATCGATGTCTCTAGCTCTCTCTCCCTTCCTCTCTCTAAAAAATTAATTAAAAAAAAATTTTGTGTGTGAGACTCTAATAGGATACCCTCCCGTGGATGCTTCCAAGATCGATTTCGATTATACTCAAAGCTTCCCTTCTGCCCTGACCTTATAGCCTAACCCCTGAGTACAATGCCATTTGGCATCTCTGCGGTAGACAACACCTGTGTCCCTCGCACCAAGCCTGTCATGGTGAGGAAGTTCCCCTGAGCCCCACTGAGCATCAGAGGTGTGTTCCTGAGCCTGACCGCGAGGAGAGAAGGGAGAGGAAACCTGGAAGGTGTGTACCCTTTCTGGGGAGCACAGGAAGCTTCTGCCAGGGATGTTACACATGTAAAAATGTCCTGTTTTGTGTCATGTCCACAAGAACTATTTTGGGGGGTGGTGTACTTGTGATAACATATATTTCAGGGCCACTTGGTCTTTTTCAAAAAAAATATTTTTTCTTTATTGATATTTAGAGAGAGAGGAAGGGAGAGGGAGAGAGAGATAGAAACATCGATGAGAGAGAACATCAATCGGCCGCCTCCTGCATGCCCCCCACTGGGGATCAGGCCCACAACCAGGCATGTGCCCTGACCGGGAATCGAACCGGCGACCTCTTGGTGCATGGGTCGATGCTCAACCACTGAGCCACACCAGCCGGGCCACTCAGGGTCTTGAGCCCTGGAATCTGCATTTCCCCAAGCATCCCAGCCGAACCTGGAAGGTGACTCTGAGGCGTTAAGCACAGCTAGAATAACCTAACCTTGCTCGAGTCCCCAAGGCATCCGCAGAAAGTCAAAGCCTGCGGACATGTTGACTGTGGCCGGGGCTTGGGTGATGAGGATTAATAAGCAGATGTCTGCTGCATTTAAATGTTTCACTCTCGTTTCTCCACTCTCCCTAGCAGCCCGAGAGCAGGGGGTTTTCTGACTTGGAGAGACTGCAAGTTTCTGATTCCATTTGGAAAAGTTGGAACCTGAAGGTCTGATTTCTAAGAATGACAGACAAGCATGTTTCACGCTCGGCGGGGCGTTCCTGGCTCTCAGCCCAGTGCTCTGTCTGAACAGTCAAATATTTCTGTTCAGTGATTCCCAGCTCTCACGGATCTGATATCACAAAACTGCCTTTCTTTGCTCCACAAACACCAAGGGCTTAGAGAGAGACCCTGTAAAATTAGGGTGCGCGAGCCTTTTTGTGAATCTGGGTAAAATCTATTCTGACCTGAGTCTCTTCCAAGAAGACACACTACCCTGGATTTTGATCATTTAGGGGAGAAGAGATTGGTTACAGTTTTCTTGATAAGGATAAAAAATAACTTTTAAAAGGCAGGGACTTTGAGATTGGTTACAGTTTTGTTGATAGGATAAAGAATACTTTTTTTAAAAAGCAGGAATTCACAATTTTAAAAGTGGCACTAGTGCCCTGGCCAGTTTGGCTCAGCGGTTAGAGCGTTGGCCTGTGGTCCAGAGAGACCCAGGTTCGGTTCCCGCTAAGGGCACGTACCTCACTTGCAGTTTGTCCCCGGCCCTGGTTGGGTCGTGCGGTGGCAGCCACTTGATGTGTCTCTTTCACGTCGATGTTTCTCTCTCTCTCTTCCTCTCTCCCTCCTACTCTAGCTGAACAAAAAAATGGAAAAATGTCCTCAGGTGAGGATAAAAAAAAAAGGCACTAGCTTACTTCAGACAGTTTTTTAAAGGCAACTCGGAGAACTCACAATATTCAAGACTGTCTGTCTCCTCTCCGGGCTTGGTGCGCTGGAAGCCGTGTTTTCCCAGCCCCTCCGTGGAAGTCCTTGCTGCCTTTTCAGATGGTTACAAAGGGCCTGGGCGGTAACTTGACTCCCCTCCTTGGCATGGAGTTGGGTATAACACATTAGGATGATGAGTTTGCTGACGTCATGAAAACTGACCACTCCGTTAGCGGCTGGCAACAGTTAGTGTGCTCTTCCTTTTGCATTCGGGAGGGAGGGAGGTGCCAGGGCTTGGTAAAGACTGTTCTCCTAACCACCCGTGACTGGATTCCTGGGTGGGAGCAGGGAGCTGGAAAATGCAGGTTCTTGGGCCTCACTTCTGACATAGCGGGTTGGGGTCCTTTGCCCAGGGGCTTGGATGTCCACCTCTCCTAAACCTCCCCAGGTAACTCGTAGGCAGCCCAGAGTTTGAGAACTCGGCCTTGCCATTGCCATTCACTTCCTCCCACGCTGGGACATTTCATTTCAAGGGACGACTGAGAAATTAATTGGCCTTGTTGTTGGTCTTAATGGAAGATTGAATTGATTCCATTCTCTCTTCTCTTGCTCTCTTACACACACACACACACACACACACACACACACACACACACGGACAGACAGACAGCAAAGCCTTTCAATTTGAGTTTTCCATGGATTCCAATTCCGGAAGACATTTTTATGTTCTTTGATAACATGGAGGGAAAGGAACCCAACCATACGGATAGGGCAGTGAGTCTATCCTCACTCTATGTATAGATAGGGAAACTGAGGCACAGAGTTTAATGACTTGTCAAGGTGGTCTGCACGGCAGAGTGAGGATTTGAATCCTGCTAGAACTGGTGCTGAAGTCCGTGTTCTCACCAGCGTGAACACTACCTCTCAGGAAGAAGGGGTGGAGAGGGGACTCACGCTCACGGTTTACAACTGCTCACAAACATCACACGCATATACACATCAATGCTTCATCTCCAGATAGAATATTTATATTAAAAATGGAGGAAGGCCCCATATATGAAAACTTCTGGGTCCCTTATACAACTTCTTGTTGTCTAAGGGGCAAACTGATCTTTGAAAGCCAAACTGTCCACCGGAGGCTGCAAAGTAGATGATCTCCAGGTTGCTGCTGGGGTTTTTGTATGTTTTTGACCCTCACCATGTTATTTAAGCAGTGTGAATTGGTCGTCAGCATCTAAAAGTCAGGAGATTTGGGGCTCATCCGGTGTGGCTCAGTGGATTAAGAGTCCTCCCTTGGACTGAGAAGTCCTGCTTGGATTCCCAGTCAGGGCACATGCCCGGGTTTCAGGCTCGATCCCCAGTAGGGGGCATGCAGGAGGCAGCTGACAGATGTTTCTCTCTCACGTCAATGTTTCTCTCTCTCTCTCCCTTCCTCGCTTTAAAAAAAAAAATCAATTAAAATATATTTAAAAGTCAGGAGATTTGAAATGAAAACCCAGCTTTCCAACATCTGTGGAAAAATGGGCCCCATAGAGTGCATTCTGAGTGGTAACAATAAGCTGGAGCAGAGTGGTGGCTGCTCCCTTCAAACTGTGTTCTGTACTGTGCCGCAGTCCCCACCACTCCATATTGTCCCACAGCCAACTGCTTCCTTCATGCATGTTCCCTGGCTAACTCCTGAAGTCTTTTGATTCTGTCATCACGTGTGGTTTTGTAGACTGAAGCCTCACCATACCACCCCCACAGAAGTCAGTTTCGGAGGTACCGCAGGGAGAGTGATGTCTATTGGCCTTTGTTACTGAATGTACTAGAAGGCACATGTTGGCTTAGCGGCCGTGTGGTGTTGTGGTTAAGGACATCATTTCTAGATCCAGATATCCCAGGTTTGAACCCTGCCTTTGCCGCCAACTAGCTGTGAGACATCGGGCAAATCTTTGATTTCTTCACTTCTCAGAGTCTCAATTTCTTCATCTGTGAAATAAGAATAGTAATACCTTGTAGGGTTGCTCTGAGGAGTCGATACTGATTAATTCATGTAAGGGCTTGGAGCAGGCCCTGGTGTGTGATGAGTCAGTGCTATGTCGGTGTCAGCCCCTGTTATAACCCACTTAGCTCAAACACGTGGCTGGGCAGTGTGTATTTTCAGAAGTCCCTAGAAGTCAAGCCAAGACTTGGCCTTGTTCCCCTGGAACACTAGCCTTTGAGTTTGGCTCATGCATTCAAAGCCTTGAACTCTATTTAGTGGCATCTTCAATTCTCAGGTCTTCTCCCAGTCACAATGATGACAGTAGCAGGAGTCATACATGGTTTGCATTTTTTGTGCACCAACTAAGGAACAGACACGGAGCTGTACACATTGTGTGGGTCATTTAATTCACGTTCTCAAGAGCTCTGTTAAACGGGTACTACTATAGTCCCCATTAAACATAAACTGAGGTTGAGGGACATAAAGCAGATGGCTGAGGTCTCACAGGAAGGGGTAGAGGGGGCACTTGCACCCAGGAAGTGTGGGGCCAAACCTGCGCTCCTAACCCCACACCCCACAGCCCCAGGCTCTCACACATGCAAGCACGTTATGACTTCCTTAAAGAACCAAGTCAGGTGTGTTCACGTCTATTCTCCAACTGCCCTCTCCTCCGTACCCCAACGCTGTCAATTTACCATCTTGAAGGCAAGAGACCTTGAGATTCCTTGCATGTTTTAGTGTCCTTTAGTGTCCCCTCTTTGGCCAAAGGCCTCCCTTCGTTCCTTTGTGACATTTCCTGTTTTGACATCTCCTCTTTCATCCAGTTGCTCTGATTGCTCCTGGGTCTGGCTCGTCCCATAGGAAGTTGATCTACTGTGACATCCACTGTGCTCTTGGTTGCCAAGGTTGGGCTGGCTGAGCTTGCAGGCTAAAGGGTGTCCCCTTCCTCCCTTCCTCACCCGTTGACCCCTTCCGGAGATGCAGCCCAGGAGGCTGACCTTCCCAGCTTGTGGGAACTGGTGCGGGAAAGCCGGTGCCGCTCCGGCAGGAAGGCCAAGCGTCCCTCAGAGTTCTCTGCCTTCCCAGGAGTTGGACAGGGAGGCAGAGATGGATCCAGGCCTCTCATTTCTGGGTCTTGATTGTCCATCACGTGACCTTCCCCTCGGTCAGACCTCGGAGGGAAGATGCCATTGATTCTAGCAGATGGAGCCCATCTCAGCTGGTTGGAGAAATCAGAATAAATGTGTCCTAATCCAGAGAGAAACATCAACAGCATCCATCTCCGTCTGAGATGAGCGCGCTGGCGATACCGAAAACACGCGGTGAGCCTCCTGCCCTTGCGGAACAGTTGGGCTGGTTGAGCGCAGAACCACGTAGGAACTCATTCAGCAGGTCAGAGTGGGAAGGAGGACAATAATCCCGAACATCCCAGTCACTCCCGCACTGGTCCCACTTCCTTTCAGTTGGGTGGAACTGTGTGATTCGTTTTAGCCGGAAAACTATGAGCCTGAGTGACACTTGTCACTCCAGTGAAAACCCTCGTGTGATTCTCGGGTCTCCTCCCCCCTGTGTTAGCCTGAGGAGGACTCATGTTCTAGTTCAGAAGTTGCAAAATGATGGTCCACAGGCCAGCAACATGTTTTTGTACATGAAGTCTCATTGAACACGGCCATGCCCATTCTTTCGCATATGGCATATGGCAGCTTTGGTGCTAAAACGGCAGAGTTCAGTAGTTGTGACCGAGATGGTGATGGAGACCGTATGGCATTCAAAGCCTAAAATATTTACTATCTGGCCCTTTACAGGAAAAGCTTGTTGGCCTCTGTTCTAAATAGAGCAGCTGCAATAGGACGGAGCTTCGGACAGCAGGGGGCCCTGAGTGATCGTGTGGAGGAGAGACCCTTCACAGACCTCCACGGCCCATGTCAGTAACCACAGTGAAGGAAAAATGAAAACACTCTTGTTTGGGATTGTCTGTTCCCAGAAAATAACGTAACCTAGCCTAACACATCCTAATGGGCCTTCAAGAAAAGGCATTTTACATTGGGAGGGATTTAAAAAATAAAAGCCTACTTACGCCTTTGTGAAGTGAACTGCACAAGAAACCCCGATGATGAGAAGGCCAATAATGATGGAGGCAATGGCTACCCACTTGGCATTCCTCCCAAGCCGCCTGGATCCTTCGAAGTCTCCATTGTTGTAGCTGTTCAGAGACTGGGGGACACAAGGAAGAGTGAGTGATGACAGACAACCCACAAAGAGAGAAGTGTTTCTCAGGCTGATCTGAGCAGGCAACACATAATCACCTCCTCCAGGAAGCCTTCCCTGAACTCCTAGGCGGTGTCAATTTCCCCTTCTGTATTTCCTGATTATACATCTTAGTATTCACCATGCCATACTAAGACGATTGGTTTCACCTCTCCCATTACAGTGTAAGTGCTCTGTGGACAGGGCCTATTATCTTGTTCAGCATAGTATACTAGTGCCCAGTGCAATACCTGTCATGGAGAAGATGCTTGATAAATATTTGTATAATGAAAGGATAAACAGGTATACTGTTTCATGTGCTAGAGTAGGGGTTTGCAAATTGTGGCCCATGGGCCACATTGGGCCTGCTGTTTTGTCAATAAAGTTTTATTGACACACAGTCACACTCATGTGTTTACTGTTGCTGGTAGCTGCTTTTGTGCTACAATGACAGAGATGGGTAGCTGGGACAGAGACCTTAAGCCCTGCAAGGCCTAAAATATTTATGTGGTCCATGATGGGAGAAGTTCTACTGCACTAGAAGGTTGGTCCGTGGGGTCAGGGACTTTGGCTGAACTGCTCACCTCTATGCCCAAGCCAAGCTGTCCTTCACCCTGTACCTATGCATACGGCTTTCCCGATGTTAAAATACTGAAATGTTTCTGTACAGGTTGGTAAATAGCAGCTGCCCCTCCTCTGAATTCCCCCAGACCTCGCTGCGGTCCAGCAATTTAAGGGTTACCACCGGGCCCAGCAGAGCATCCTTTCTGATTCTGTGCCCCCGCCAAACTTGTTAAATATTTTAAATATTGCCCCTGTTGCTAGTACTTTGAGCAGCGTCTGGTACATTGTAGGTGCTCAAGAAATACTGAATGAATGTCTGTTTCCCCACAGACTGTGAGTTCGTTAAGGGCCTCTTGGGGCCCCCCTAGAGTCTAGCCTGGTTCCAGGCAAAGTAGAGGTGCTCAGAGAACACTTGATGCTGAGCTGAAGGCCAGATGCCATTCTTCTCTCTAATTAGCCTCTGTCATATAACCCCCACTGCCGAGAATCCCCCCAAGAGGCGCTGCAGCCCGAAGACTGGAAATATGCATTCCTAAGTACGGACAGAGGGATGTGGTCGGTGCTGCGAATTGTGGGTTTCGGTGGGAACCTCTAGTCCTCATCCGGAAGTCACAGCACTTGAGTAACAATCACTCCTTCTCCTGGACTGTTCAGGAGGGTTAGGCATATGCAGCCAATTACAAGCCAGAGAAACACCCCGTCTACCACAGAGCTTGCTGCTTCTGGAACCTTCCATCAATCCTTGGATCCAGGCCACCTTAGTCAGCACAGGCCAAGGGACTCGGCAATGATGGGGACTTGCTTGCAGCTCTCTGTGGGAACGGGAGAGCTAGAACCTGCAGTGACGTCAGGGGCTGCCAGTCCTGAACTCTGGGCTTCTCCACCCTGGGTCCTCCTTAGAAACCCCTGGTTGTTGTTACAATTGTTGTTGTTGTTATTATTATTTGTATCCTCACCCGAGGACATTTTTGCATTTATCTTCAGATAGAGTGGGAGGGAGAGAGGGAGGAAGAGAGAGAGAGAAACATCGATGTGAGAGAGACACATCGACTGGTTGCCACCCACACGACCCCAACTGGGGCTGGGAACAAACTGCAACCAAGGTACATGCCCTTAGTGGGAAATGAACCCGGGACTCTCTGGTCCGCGGGCCAACGCTCCAACCACTGAACCAAACCGGCCAGGGCTATTGTTACTATTTTAATACAGAAAGCTAGGCCCTATTCTGGAAAGATTCTGATTTAACTGGTGTGGGGACCAGACATCAGTTATTTCAAAAAATTGTGGCTCTGGCCAGAATGTCATCCATATGCACCGAAAGGTCCCTGGTTCAATTCCTGGTCAGGGCACATGCCCAGGTTGCAGGCTCAATCCCCGGTGGGGGTATATTTGGGAGGTAACTGATCGGTGTCTCTCCTTCACATCTATGTTTCTCTCTCCCTCTCCCTTCCTCTCTCTCTAAATATCAATAAAAACATATATTTAAGAATATTTATAGTGAAATACACATAACATAAAATGTATCATTTTAACTCTTTTTGAGTGTACAGTTCAGTGGCATTAAGTACATTCTCATTGTTGTGCGACCATCACCATCATCCATCATCTCAAACTCAAACTCTGTACCCACGGAACACGAACTCCTCATTCTACCCTCCCCCCATCCCTGGTGACCACCATGTGGCGTTCAGTCTCTGTGAAATGGACAACTCTGGGTTCCTCATATAAGTGGAATCATACAATATTTGTCTTTTGTGACTGGCTTATTTCATTTAGCATAATGTCCTCAAGGTTCATCCAAGCTGTAGCGAGTATCAGAATTTCCTTCCCTTTTAAGGCTGAATGATATTTCATTGTCTGGATAGACTACATTGTCTGGATAGATCCACTCATGCAATGATGGACACCTGGGTTGTTGTCACAATGTATATATATATTTTCTTTAAAGCTTCTCAGGATTGAAAATCTTTGGCAACGATCCTTAACGTCCTGCAACTTCAGGTGATGCTCACCACCTGAAGATGAATCCCAAGAAAGTGTGTAACAGATTCTCACTTGTAAAATGGGGATAATAATACCTACAGCACCTGGCTCCTACAATACCTGGCTCTGAGGATTCGAGAATAATGAGGGTAAAAGGGCCCAGCATCAACTCACTTAATCTCGAAAACCATGCAGAGAGGACTGTATTAACATTCCCATTGTATAGGTGGGACAGCCTAGGCTCAGAGAAGTTAGGCAAAGGGGTGGGGCTGGGATTGGAACCCAGGAATTGAGTGCAGAGTCTGAACCAACACACCGTCTGCCTTCGAATTAGCTGCTAGCCCAGTGTTCATGTTGGGGGCCAGAGGAGAGAGAGAGGCTACAGGCAAAAAAGGAAGGAGGTGTTTCACTAAAAACTCTGCACTTACATAGACGGACCCCTCCACTAAGGTTCACAAAGCAGCAAAAGAATCAAGGCCCAGATAACCCACTAAAAAGGAGAAAATATTTGCAAATTACATACCTAATAAGGGTTTTGTATCTAGAATATGTAAAGAGCTCCTGTAACTCAACAATAAAAAGACAACTCAATAAAAAATGGACGAATAATCTGAATAGGCATTTCTCCAAACAAGATACACAAATGGTCAATGGGCACATGGAAAGATGTTTAACATCATGAGTCATTTACAGAAATGGAAATCTAACCCACCACAGCCTATATATACACTGGGATGGTTAAAATAAAAAAGACAGACAATGGCAAGTGTTATTGAGGGTGTAGAGAAACTGGAACCCTCATTCACTGCTGGTGGGAATGTAAAATGGCACAGCCACTTTGGAAATAGTTCCTCAAAAAGTTAAACACAGAATTACCATATGACCCAACAGTTCTACTCCTACATATAAACCTAAGAAATCTAAGAAAATTGAAAATGTATGTTCACATGGAAAGTTGTACATGAATGTTCATAGTGGCATTATTTATAATAGCCAAAAAAAAAAAAAAAGAGAGAGAGAGAGAGAGAAAGAAATAAACTTAAATGTCCATCAACAAATGAATGACAAAGCAAAACGTGGTCCATCCATACAATGGAATATTACTCAGCCTTGAAAAGGAATGAAGTGCTGATACCTGCTACAACATGGATGAACCTTGAAAACATTATGCTAAATAAAAGAAGTAAAACATGAAAGATCACATAATATGTGGTTCCATTTAGATGAAATGTCCAGAAGAGGTAAATTAGTAGAGACAGGAAGGAGATTAGTGGTTGCCAGGGGCTGGGAAGATGGGGCGATGGGGCGTGACTACTAATGGGTATGAGATTTCTTTTTTTTTTTTTTTTTAATCCTCACCCGAGGACATTTTTTCCATTTTTTGTACAGACAGAGTGGGAGGGAGAGAGAGGAAGAGAGAGAGAGGGAAACATCGATGTGAAAGGGACACATCGAGTGGCTGCCACCCGCACGACCAACCAGGGCCGGGGACAAACTGCAACCGAGGTACGTGCCCTTAGCGGGAACCGAACCCGGGTCTCTCCAGGCCGCAGGCGGACGCTCTAACCGCTGAGCCAAACTGGCCAGGGCTGGGTATGAGATTTCTTTTGGGGCGATGAACATTTATTGGAATTAAATAGCTGTGATGATAATACAACAATGTGAATATACTAAAAATTACTAAATTGTGCACTGTTCTGTTGTTGTTTTTTTAAGAAGACCCAGCAACAGAGCTTTTGCACCTGGAGGGTCCCAGTAGACCAATAGTGGAGCCCAGAGAAGTTGGTGGGCTCTGGCATGAGATGGTGGCAGGGCTTAGAAGCAGCCTGGGCTATCCCCATGCCCACTGGAAGCGGCAGCCAGGCCCTGCAGTGTTAACAGCTAGCAGATTAGACTTTTGGGTGAGCATGTGAGAAATGCCTTCTAGAAGTTTAGAAAGGAATGTTGCCAGGTGTTGACTCAGCAGGGAGGGAGGAGAGCCAGTGACACCGGGGCTATTGTCTATTAATATAAGCCCCGTTAGACTCACAGGTCATTAATTCCTAGGGAAACTGGGACCAGACAGAAATAGATCCTGCTTCTTCAGTGACCACATTACCTCTGAGCAATTGTTCTAGTTCGGAATGAGGGTCGAAGTAGAAGTAAACCAAGAATTTGTGCTAAATATGGTAGCAGGTTGGCTTGAGACCAGGGCATAAGTAATGGTCTGTGAAGAGCTGTGTGTTACACCCCGCTGGGTAACAGCCTTAGCTTTCTATTTTGTGGCCTCTTCTGGGATTCCTTCCTGGGGCAGTGAAATCCATTTTAAGAAGATGACATCGATGTCATAGGATGTGACCCTGGAACACACCAAGCTTATTCTACTCCAGGGCCTTTGCACATCCTGGCTCTGCCCAGATCTTCCTATAGCTGGCTTGTTC